CACGGCACGTGAGCACCTTGACAATTCGCCGGTCGCAACTAACACTAATACAAATTAAAACTAAGCGTGAACCTCCAGATAGCCGGCACGTGAATGCCTGACTATCTTACTCAATGCGCACCGGTCGTCGCATCATCACAGAGAGAGAAAGAGAGAGAGAGAGTGTAGAGAGAAAGAAAGAAGGCTTGACCTTTTATCCAATGCTCCTCGCAACGTCGTGGATTTCAAGCGATATGCTGTTGCAGGAAATACTGCTGGTCAGAATGTTGCTAGCGATGCTGGCTGTTGTCGCTGACGATGTATCTGCAGGCGACGTTGGTCGTTGTCGCAGGTCCAGTATCTGCAGGCGATGTTGGCTCTCCTTGTAGGTGGGGCTGGCTGTAGTCGCAGACAAAGCTGTTGCCGGTAGAGTTGGCCTTCCTTCCAGCTATCCCAAAACTGCACTCTCTGCTCAAAACTGGACTAACTGACGCACGCACTTTTTCTTGCGCTGACCGTCTCGCGGCCGCTCAGCAGTGCTCGCTCCCATCCCTTCTTGACTTATTAGTTAGGTGGCACGCGACACGCCACTTATCGGTCACGCGTCGCGCGCCTGCCTAACCCTGCATAGGCCTAATGCTCTCTCTCTCTCTCTCTCTCCCTCTCCCTCTCCCTCTCCCTTCCCCCCCCCTCTCTCCCTCTCCCTCTCCCTCTCCCTCTCCCTCTCCCTCTCTCTCTCTCTCTCTCTCCACGCTCCTCAACTTTTTCTCGCGCTCAGCTCCGCTGGCCTGTTCTTAGCGCTAAAACAAGAAGGCCGAGTGTTAGGATCATACTTTAATGCGCCCAACGTTGGACACCAAGCCTTGCCGAGTGGAGAAGGCGGAAGAAACACAGACGAGAAGCCAGCGCACGGCCTGCTCTCGTCACAGAAACATGCCTTCCTTCTAATCTATAATTTTTCTGAATACCCTCATATCACGAAATAATAGGAAATGAAAATGTTGACTCTCTCACCAAGAAAACTACTAAAAATAAAATTTAAACAAATCAATGTAATTCCTTTATTCTGATTGATATCATGATATTAAAGAAGTCATTATGAACAAAACAAAAGAGATTATCAAAAATCTGAGGTAATTTAAAGGGATAAATTATTTTAAATGGTATTACAATTATAACAGCGTGGTTACGGTAAGGCAAGAAATGTACGATGATTCACGCGATTAGCGCAAGGGCGCCAGGCACTGAGGGGAAGTGAGGGAGCAGTGCCTCTCCTTTAGATATGGCTAGCTCTAATATTGAAGAGCGGGAGCAGGTTCCTGTGAATTTACCTAGAGAAAATGGGATAAGGAACTGGGGATTGCATACAATTAAATGTCTATAATAAAAATTAAAGTAAATGATAAATATGAGATTTATTATAGATTGAACAAACAAATACTCGTTAATTAAACTAGGCAATTAATCGTGATGGTATTTGAACGAATAATAACTCGATAATGAGCTTCGACTTACTCGTTTAATTCGACGGCTAATTAAATTAAATATTTCAAAATTGTAATTTTAGAACTTTGGCTCTCTTCGGCTTGACCGTACGATAGTCAAGCCAGGCATAGAGGAAAACAAAAGATTCTAATAACGCGAGGTCACTTACAATCGCTAATGATATAATTGATTCGCCGATAGTCAAATTTCCATTTAGAGTAAGATTTGAGTCAAACACATGAATGATTGAAGCAATTTAATAAGCTTGAAATGACTGTTACCTTAATTGCTTACAAAGCTCTGATAATTCACTTACTGATACATGCTCGCTGATTAACACGGAACAAGACCTTTGACGGTAGGTGATTATTTAGGCAAAATAACGGCAAACAATGCATTGTGATCACTTATGATTGAATGAGGCACACTTTAGCCAATCAAAGACTGAATTTGCAATGCAATTTCGAATGCCGGAGAAAGCGTTATCTCGGCGCAGTATGATGAGCGCGGGTTTAGAACGTCCGGCGTTGACCGCAGCCTAGAACTCTCTCCCGAATTCCTTTTCTTCTCCGTCTTTGCTAGCATTGCCCCTCATCTCGTTGTACTTAGCTTCCGAGAGTGGGCTGGGTAATTGTTTGTGTGTACTTGGTAAGTGTGTTGTAAGTGTGGTGTGACGTCATATGGCCTTGACTCAGGGAAACATGAAATAAATACAAAATATGAAAATATCGTGTGACCTGTACTTTGTCAAATACGTCGCGAGAGCCAATATTACTCATTGCGCATGAGAGAGTCAGCAGCGGTCAATTAGCCTACCGCTGCCTGATCTTGTCCCATGTTACACAATGAAAAAATAATTATCTGAATCTCTGGTCAAAATTAAAGTAGATGATAGCCCTCTATGTAAATGCGGACAAGAATTGGAAAATTTAAACCACGCTCTGTAGCAATGCGAAATATATAAGACTCACCGTTCTATCTTAATTCAAAAACTACTCAGACTCAACCTTTAACTTCCCCCAAACATCGAATGTCTCGGAAGTTATGATCGCCTCCTGTACCTCGCAGTCGGTCTTAGGTATCCGTCGCTGAGGTCGTGTGCGAGCAGGCGAAGATACCTTTGCCACCGCCTCTGCCTTCGCCGCCGATACCTATTTTTGGCAACAAGAGCGGAGTATGGTTGTTAATAAGAAATAGAAGAGCAGGATCCATTCTACGTTTAGCAGTGCCTACACGTATGTGAGACAAGGCTGTAGGTCGATGCGCAAGTTTCCGTCTCGCTACTCTATGCTTCCATGAGGCAGTCGATAGATCACAGGTTATAGAGGCAACTAGAGGAATTATTTTCCCTTTAGAGGAGGTGAGTGACTCTGGTGGTACACGCCGAGTCCTCAATTCAGCGTGGTAGAACGTCCTTCTAGTAGGACGGAAAATCGGAATCGCAAGCTTTTACTGGTGATAGGGCAGAAGGTGTCAGTTGTCCGATGCAATCTGCTAGCAACGGCATTCGGCAGATGATTTTGAGCTCGAGTAACTCGAAGGATGAGACGGCGTCACCTCGGGAGATGCTTCGCCTGGCTCTACAGCCGCACGTTCATGCTCCTCTTCCATTTAAGCCGCTCCCGCTGCAGAGGCATGACCCCACCTATCTGTTCATCCATAAGGGTAGACTCGCTTGCTTTTTACCGGCTAATTATGTAAAGGAGGATAGAAGAGAAAGGGTTGAAGCCCGACAGAACTCAGGCAGAAGAAAATGTATTATGCGTTTCAATCTATCTACGTGCAACTTCAAGAGGCCATCTTCCGGACAGACTCCGTCGTTGCCTCGGGTGGCAGTCGTTGTGGACACAACGTGTATTACGGCATCCTCGGGGACTCTTATGGCGTAGGCCTCGAGAGTATGGACGAGTGTTGCTTCCGAGGAGACGGTGGTGGAGGACTGGAAGGTGACCGTAAGGACGACGTTGATTGCGCAATTAAACCGTTTGATTAGGGTAAATGGTTGCGGTGACGAAGTAATTAAATTTTTGATAATTAATTAATTTCATGATGTCTCCCGTTTAAAAATTCGAAAGAGCTTCCAAACTTACTCCCATCCATTTTTGTAGATAGATTTTCACAAAGATATAAGATTTTTAAATTTAATACATTTTACTTACGGAGGATTTTGTGACCAGCATTGTAGTTCTGGTATTTCTACGGCATCTCTCCCAAGTTATATCAATAGCTTATTTGCTACGACGTGTTTAATATATGATAACTTTTGCCCTCAAGGCTTTCAAATTAGATATTGCTTTCATTTTTGGTCGAATGTCTGTATATGAACGATCGTACTACGTCTCGATTTTAATGGCATCTGGACGTAGTGATCTTAGTGTACTCATATTTTCCTCCTTCACCATTTCACCTACTGCTGATTACACAGGCCAACAAAATTTAAAAAAAGTCACAAACTTGGAACTAGACATAGTATACTTAATAGATTTTCATGCGCTAATTCCAACATGGGCTCAGAATTGCTCTTTCTTGGTTTTCGAGATATCTTAATTAAAAGTATCAAAAACACGCTTTTTTACTATATATGACCACCTGTAACATGACGAAAGATTTTTTTTGCACAATTCTGACCATAATTTCTAAAAGAGAAACTTTTGGGCCACAAACAGCACTATTCAAAATTAATTTTATAATTTTTTCAACGGAGATATGGTCCTTTGAAAAATATTGGATCTAAACATTCTACTATAGGCTTATAATAACACGAAACTCAATATTTACCGTGCTTTCGAAACTCGACGAGCAGTGCCAGACTAGGCATAGGCTTGATGTAATTTCGTCAAATGTTCTGATTTGAGGATTAATCAAGAAATGACATGTGAATTCCTACTGGCTTAGAAAATATTGAGTTTGAAGTTATGGGATTTCAGCAAACTGAACACTATGTTATATACGGACTCTTGTACTTCTGATTTTATTATACATGAGCATTTATAGATATTAGAAGTGAATATTGAGTATCGTGTTATTATAAGCCTATAATAGAATGTTCAGATCCAACATTTTTCAAAGGGCCATATCTCCATTGAAAAAATTATAAAATTAATTTTGAATAGTGCTTTTTGTAACCCAAGAGTTGCTATTTTAGGAATTGTGGTCAGAATTATGCAGAAAAAACCCTTCTTTATGCTACAGGTGGTCATATATAGTAGAAAACATGTTTTTGATAGTTTTAATTAAGATATCTCGAAAACCAAGGATGACAGAGCAATTCTGAGTCCAGATTCGGAATAAGCGTATGAAAATTTATTAAGTATACTATGTCTGGTTTCAGGTTTTTAAAATTGTTGGCCTGTGTTATCCTCTTCGTGATTGCTGCTGATATTGTTGCTTCTTTTTAACTACCGTAGCACATTCCTGGTACTCTGTCTTTTCATATCCAGTTTCACATCTATTTAAGATTCTGAATAATATGCTTTGAAAGCTAATTATCAACAAATATTTTACTACATAAAGATTAATCTTGCAATACCTTTCAGATAATTGAATAGCAGTAGACCAACTTTCAAAATGTACAAAAAAAAATTTATACATTTGATCAAGTTTATTTCTGTTGAACCTACGATGTGGTTATATATGATGGCCTATATGATTACGTCTATTGTTGAACAAGCATTTTTCATTCAGAAAGCTTGTAGCGCTGATCTTGGATATTCTGAATTGATTTGTTCAAACTTAAACCGAGATAAAAACAAGCAGATTAAGGAAAAAGTACAGGTATTGTATGATCATCTATGTATTGTGTAATAATATAATATATTTCTTAACGGATACGCTAAATCCTTTATGATGACGAGAAAGGTTGATGGCGCAAGCTGGATGTAAATACTACAATGAATTTGATCAAAAAGTCTGTTCGTATTAGTTAGAGACAGTATTTTTGATATTCGAAAACAATTGCCGAAAGTACGATTGGGGGATCAGAATGCGGAAATATTTCAAATACGCATCAGACCAATATTTGTCAATTACTAGATTATTCTCTGTGAGAGAAATCATACTAAAAGTACTAAACTAGAATATAATTAAAAGGAATATAAATACTTAAATTTTTTATTAATATTAATCGTAATTATTATCTAAATAATAATTTTTAAATTGGTATTACTAGTATTTCCTCACTTTTATAAATAATATCTTTTGCTCATACATCCATCTTACAATAAAAAGTACAATTGGCAAGTGAGCAGAATATGGGTGGCTATAACATTTTGAAATTAATTGTTTGGTACAAGCAAAGAGAAGAGCATTTAAGAAGCACCAATTTGAACATTGATTGTAGTCCGTTTTGCTACTTGTATAGACGGCCTTGATACATATTCTTATTATGTTTAAAATTGAAGCATTTTAATTACAATCGATAATACAATTCCAATGAACTAAATGGTTGCAAATTAAATCATTTTAAAATTGGTAAAGACGCATTTAGTTTTTTGGTATGCTATTTAACTTTGATTGAAAAGTCTATATTGGAGTAAGGAGACTTCATTTAATGTATCAGTATGATAAGTATTTATAGACCTAAGTATTTATAAATTGTCACCACGATATAAATTTTGTTGGATACACAATATTTGGTAGTTGTGTATATACAAAAAGAACAGCTGATAAGCTAAAGCTTCCTCTTATAATTTGGCTCTTATATATGTTATAACGGGGTTTTGACCCAGCGCGGGTCACTCGTTATATAAATTACGAGGGGAATAAACAGCTCGGTGTGGGCCTCGTAATAGGCTGCGCAAAGCCTAGCCCAGCGGCAACAGGAACGTTGTGGTGCAGCGTCTGTTACCTTGGCCCGCGGAGAGCGTCGTGTAGTCCTATGGGCGCTTTGGAATAATCACGAAATTTAGGTGCGAAAGCCGGACGGAACGGGATTGATTACGATAGGTAAAAGGAAGCGCAAAAGAAGAAAAAAGATATACAAATAGCATCGAGTTTACTACGGAAAGTAATACAAAATTAATACGCAGCGTAAGCGGGAGAGAGAGTGGCGAAAAGCTAGCGAGAGAGACATGTATTCGAGAAGGTACTTACAATAATATCTCGGCGTTAGCCCTGCAAGCGATGTCCTCAGCCTCGCACGTGGCTCGCGATGACGCGCAGTGTGCAGCTCGGGTGTAATCAAGAAGCGGGCGGCCTTAAAGACTCGCACGCGCGGTCGCAGGAACTAGCCCGCCAAAGACACTAGGGGCAATCTCAGCACCGGTATCTTACACCGAGTAGACACTCGCGTATTCGCAGGCAACCGAAGTGTCAGTCACAAAAGTTAGTCGCGAAAAGTTGGTCAGCAAAAGATCGCAAGCACGAGTATAGCCGCTCGTCACACGTCCACGTGCTTCGAAGTCGCCGGTACAAGAGCGAGTCCTTATCGCGCGCCTCTGCCCTACTCTCCTACTCGCGCGCGTCGCGCCAGCCTCCCGAATTCTCTCTCTCTAGCTCGCCCTCTATTAGCGCTCTCTCTGACTTACCTTTGGCTGCCATACATGTGGGATAAATATAAGACAATTATATACATAAGAATAATTATAATTATGTATGGGGAGAGAGAGACATAACGAGGGTCTGGCCGCTCGTTATAATGTAAGTTATTTCTATTACATGGTTGGTTTCCTTAATGCAAGTATATAATTTATATTGTGTGTGTGTGTGTGTGTATGTGTCTATATAGAAAGTACTGCTTTCAATGACTTTTCCACTGATAATAAGCCGGTTTCAACGACTATTGCCATTTAGAAGCCGTTTAGTCATCTATGCTGATTCATATGAGCAACCTATTCAGACAATTTATACAAAGAGCGTAAAACTATATTGGACGACTTATCTAGGAAGAAACTGGAATTTATAATTATAATAAAAATACCATAATGATTACGTAGAATCATTCGAATCAAATTCCATATTATGAGTCCAATGTACTTATCTTCAACTAGATGATACTTGTGAAAGAGATTGTAAGATAGAAACCATTGATGGATTATAATCTGTTTCAGATACCAATCAGATATAATACCAAATTGTTTTTGTAATCATCGGAAGCGGCCATACGGTAAAAAAATTGACGAATAATGTTTCAAAATCATCATTTGGAAAATCGGGAATGTTTGTTAGTTACATTACAGCTCAGATTCTTATCGAAAGTGAACTAAATAATATCTCATTGAAAGGCTAGAAGCTGCCATACATGATGAAATTGACGAATAATGTTTCAAAATATTAATTTGGGAAATCAGGACTATTTTTTAGTTAGATTAGATCTCAGATACCAATCAGATGTGTAACGTTATTTTTCTTTTTGAAGTCATCGCAACCCGACGAACACTGAAATTTGTAATGCGGTGCATTACAAGGTTTGCCTGCAAGTGTTCCATTACTTGCAACACCTCAGAAGTGCCATCCCCGTCCCTTGCCGCCCCGTAATCAACCGAATAAAATTATTCTACTCGCGCTCTAATATAAACTCTACTTTATTTCCATATTAACGCTCACTCCCGGAAAAACGATGTAACAAGGCAAACCGCGTAATCCGACGGATAAGTGAAAAATGGAGTGCACGACGAAAAAGAAGAGAGCGCACGACAAAAAAAAGAGAGCGCACGCACTCACACACTCCCGACTATGTGTTATCAGCTAGAGGAAAACACACGGGAAATTTGACTTAAAAATGCAACAAAAATGCATGCGAGGAAAACCTGTGAACACGTTACACATCCAGGCACTAGCACAGACACTCTGGGGAAGCTGTCACACCTGGGGTAACCAGATATCGCCGATCAAGCGGCCGACGGCAATCAACTATGTTAGGCTGCTGTGTTCCATTTACGACACCCTAAGCGCCACACTCACTGCTGCTGAATACTGGCGAACATCCGGATGTACACACACAACATACGACCGAGGGGGAGCGCTCCAGGAGACGCTCCAGAGACCGGCAGTAGAGCACGAGGTCTACACGCGGGAGTGAGGGCGGCTATTTTGAGGCACCGAGATAGACAAAGCGGAAGTGAGCGAGACAGGCTAAACAAGAGCAACCAAGTTAGACCATATGAAAGCAAGCGAACTAGAATTTAAATAAAATACTAATTCGAACGCAAACTCGATGATGAGGGCGATACGAAAGTGAAATCGATCTACGACTATTATATTATTTGGCAAAATACTTAGCAATGTGACTTAAAATATGTAATGTACATGAGAAAAATTGGAAAATACATCTACGCGACCGCTATAATTCTATTGGCATACTCATAAGCGACAAGTAGTCTGTTAAATTAAATCAACAGAATTAACTGCTGAAATTTGAACTTTTGACGAAATTCGCCGGTGACGTCATGGCCAATAAGCAAATTAGAATAAAATTTGATTTTCGTCCGCATAGAAAAATAAATAGGAGTAGGGGTAGATCTTTCTCATCAATCAATGCTGACCGAGATAAGATTTTATCTAAGACAGGGAAAATAGTGATGAGGTAGGTGAGAAAATGAGGGCGCTGTGACTTTTCTAATTTGCATATTGACCAATGATGGGGACATTCGGAGGGCGCTACCGATTCCGAATTAGCATATTGGATAATAAAATGTTTTATTCTCGGAAAGAGAAAAAATAGAAGATATTTGACCGTGAAGAGCTGTTTCTCGTCCATTTTGTCATTGATCGTGAGCTCCACTGCAAGCAGATCCGCTACCAGCCGAGAAAGTTGAGTGATTTAGGAAGCAATCGAGTGAGTCTCCAGTTTGAGAACGTAAGTAGGCAAAGTGCCACTCATTAGTGAGAGTTAGGTGTTGCTGCGCGTGCTTTGCCATACCATTAATTCCGTCGTGACGCGTGGATCCATTGACGCCGGAAATAGAGTGCTCCGACCGAATCGCGCTGATCAACCACCATTTTTCTGACTAACTTGAGCGTAGGCAGTGTAGAATTCTGATAGCTAGGCGAAGTGCCACTCGCCGTCGAGAATTAGGGATTGTGCGCATAATTTTGTCGCGTGTTTGATTCGCCGAGACGTGTGAATCCGTTGCCGCCGTGTATTAAATCGCCTTGAATCGCGCTGACCATCCGCCATTCTGATCGTTGATGTACCGTAGCTAGCGAAAAAAGTGAAGTGAAGTGTAATCGATCTCTTATTTATGCTTCCTTAACTTTTCCATCCCTGCATGCTGATATTATTTTCAGGCGTAGATGGACTGTAGCGAGAATTTTTCCTTACTAGTTCCGAACGTTTGGTAACATACCCTTGGCCAGAGACAAAGAGTTGCTTCCTGAGCTGTCGGGATTCCCAGGACGTGCAGAAAACGGAGAAAATTAACTATTGGTTGTTGAAGCGGCCTGAAAAAAAGTTATCGACGTGTGAAGCAACTACTTATCCACTCTGCGCAGTCGCACAGTGGATATCTAGTCCTACGCGCCGATTTCCGACCTTATCCCCGACGATCACCGTAATCAAGGAAAGGCGGTCTGGCGCCCTTATTACTACTCGAGAAAATGGTCCAATCAGGTCTTGTAGCGAAAGTATTTCGTGTGCGTGACCTAGACCTCCCGAAATTCCCCGCCACAAATCATTTACCGATATTGTTCAAAAACAATCGATTACCAGATAGAAATCAATGATGGGTTACGATCTGTTTCAGATACCGACAACATGTGACACCAAATTGTTTTCTCAGTCTTCAGAAGTGGTCATAAACTGGTTAAATTATCGAATAATGTTTTATAATCATTAC